CCATAGTTTATCCAATCATGAATTGAATCTGATCTTCTTGTCAAGCAGATTGCTACGTTGATCGCCGTCTATGCCAATTGGAGTTTTGCTGCAGTTAAGGGAATTGGGTGGGGGTGGGCTGGCGTTGTTTGGCTATATAACCTCGTCTTCTATTTCCCACTTGATTTTATCAAGTTCGTCATCCGATATGCTCTGAGCGGGAGAGCGTGGGATCTCATAATTGATCAAAGGGTATGATTACTCTCTAGTTTAATGGAGTAAACCTATTTATTTGGATTGATGGAGTTGCTGACTGTTTCTACTGTGGAATTATGTGTTTTGCAGATTGCCTTCACGAGGAAGAAGGATTTCGGAAAGGAAGAAAGGGAGCTAAAATGGGCACATGCACAGAGGACCCTCCATGGGCTGCACCCACCAGAAGCCAATATATTCGGCGACCGCAGTAATTACACAGAACTGAATCAGATGGCTGAAGAGGCAAAGAGACGAGCTGAAATTGCCAGGTACCGGACAACACACATTGTTTTCGATTTCAGCCCTAGATGATATGCTTCTATATACTGCTGAGTTTGTAAACTTGAAATGGAGTTTTTATGTTTGTTTTCGGGTTTTGCAGGCTGAGAGAATTAAGTACCCTGAAAGGGCATGTGGAGTCAGTGGTGAGAAACAAGGGCCTGGACATTGACACAATTCAGCAATCATACACAGTCTGAGCCTCTCCTTTGCAACTCCAACTCTCCATAGTACTAGCATTTGTAATAATGTAAAGACAAACAAGAAATTTAATTGTGATTTTGAGGCTTTTTATTTATTAAAGATTTCCTACAGCTAGCTGCTTCATGTTCATACAACAAAGCTTTCTATTTATATAAAAATGACCAACAAAGTTGAAACTGCAAATACAAAAAAAGAAATACAAACTCAAGTCTGGAAGAGCGACACAAGCAGGATGTGGCTTTTAGAGAGAGTGGTACTTTTGAACCTTCTTCTCAAGCTCAGCCTTTTTGGCACCGATCACTCGATCCACTTCCTTCCCTTTCTTCAACAGCACAAACGTCGGCATTGCCTGCACTCCAAATTCCTGTGCCACCTCCTTTTTTTTTTTATTTAAGAAAAAGAAAACCCAATTTAACAAATTTGAGATTGAGATTAATGAAGATTAATGGAAGAAATGGGGGGCGGGAAGGACTTACAGACAACTCGTCGACGTCGATCTTGGCGAAGTCAACGTCGGTGAACTGGGTGGACATGGCGTGGACGGCCGGCTCTATGAGCCTGCAGGGTCCGCACCACGCAGCCGAGAAATCGATCACCAGCTTTTCATTCCCAATTATAACAACAATCCAACAATTAAGTCAACAACAACAACAAAATCAGATCTTTAAGCTCAGTAATCCCTCTCAAAGTAAAAAATGAAAAATTCAAACCAGCTGGGAAGATTCCTTGTGGGAATTGAAGTGAAGCTGCCATCTGGCGGATGAGTGAAACGACGTCACCCGAGACTCCTCCGATGACGCGGCTGAGTCGTCCGCCGGCGATCCTCCAAGTAGGCTTGACAGAAACGACCCCATTCTCTCTTTGACTCTCTCTCTCTCTCTCTGGTCTCTCTCTGCTTACTAGCCGATCACTCGACCAAGACCAACCAATTCAACAGTTTTCTTTCTTTTTTGGGTTTTGTTTGTCTCAGTGATTCCTTCGATGCTTCTTACAATGAACTGCTACCACAATTTAGAGTGGGACCCACTTTGGTGGGATAGCTCAGATGGCAAAACGACCTGTCGTTTTGGCTGCCACTTGCTCCCATTCGAACACTCCCGGCGGGCAGTAGCAACTTCTTCATGAATCCATTGGATGTGTTTGTTCATGTTCAACGTTTACAAACTTGTCTTAGAGAGTTTCCCATTCTCATTTAAATATAATTAACTCATCAAGTCCATACAGTTACAGTTGGACATGAGGCAAGGAATTCATTAAAATTCCTATCTATATTATTTGACACATTACAAAAATGCAATTTAATTTGCAAACCAAAATCTGAAAGAACCTCAACCATGAAGTTGGTTCAGTCCATTCTTAAATTTACTAATGTACACTACACGCAATTAATTTCATCGAAAAATGCTACATTTTTCTTTTCTCAGATTCACTCAAATGGAACTGGAACACCTTGTTTCTTGTTGACAATGGCCATTGCCAGATACCGAGTACCCATTCCAATGGGGACCTTATCATCAGGCCCCTCCCAGAAGGGGGCCTCGCCTTCGCCAACCAGTTGCCAATATCCATTCCTTAGAGACTCAAATTGTTCTTCTGTGCAGTTCTGTGTCAATGCTTCCACTCGGAAATTTATCCCAAGAGCACCAAGAAACTGAGACTGAGTGATTGGACCATGGACAGAAACCTCTCCTATATAAATATTACAACGTCATAAAATATATATCTCCAACCTTTACTTTAACCTAATCCATGGAAATATAATGGTAAAGGATTCACTGTGATGAGATGGTGCACCTGAAACTTCCTCAGCAGAGTGCCTGATGGAAGCAAAATCAACATATGTACTGAGATCGGCAGACCCTGGATCATCCAGAATGTTGACAAATTTATGTTTCCGAATTGCCTGCAACAAATTAAATTTTGGAAAAGTTATAAATAAAACCAGCAGTTTGCATCGCTTGAATAGTAAAAGACTACCAAAACTAGCAACGGCAAGGCAACAGACCTGCAGACTATCTGAGACTACTCCATTTTGGCCATAATCAATTATAAGAGCTCCACCACCGTCTGAAGCAATTCTTTCAACAATAGTTTCAGTCAACTCCATTGCTTTGGGGCAAACCTCAATATGACCAAGCTTTGCTATTTCTTCATTTCCAGCCCACTTGCAGCGTTTTGCTAGATAGAGAGTTGCTGGTGTAGGCTGTGAAGACAGAATAAAGCGAAACCTAAACAATATTTTATGAGTATCAATCAAGTAACCCAATTGTTACATCTGCTAAATATACAAATTCTGTCAGACTTCGTATTACATCCTTACGTTGAATCTTCTGCAACATCAATCATTTTCTCACACCAGCCACGAGATGCCCTCTGAAGAAAAATATTAAGAAATTCGATTAAAAGAATAAGAGAATACTCATGGAATGAGCATTTGGAGATATTGGTCAGAAATGGATCACACAAACCTGAAATTGATGAACTGGTAAAGCATCATAGAACTCGTGCGCTATGATGATAGATGGCACTGGCATGACAATTAAGAAAATTAGTAGTCAAAGAGAATCTAGTACACGTCCTTTTTGCTTCTCATGATAGTCTTATCAAAAGTAAACAAAAGCTTCACTTACGAATACATAAATAAACTCTGTAAAGAAGTTGTTGCACAAGCACAAATTTAAAGTCATTCAATTGCTAATACACACACAGACAAATAAGCTCGTCTTTCTTGAAATACCAATAAGAACATAACTACATACCTCCTGAAGGAACCTGCTCCAATGTGGCATGCCATGATACAGGAGTTTTAGCCAACATGCTTACAGTCCTTTTGCCAGCCGTTACGTCTTCATCTACACATTCCAGCTTCTGGTGCTGAAGCTTCTGCAACGCAGGACTGCATTCTACCATGTGTACATGCAAGGATTCGGTGAAGTTCTTGAATTTTGATGCACCCTACACAACAAATAAAGTAAATAATGTTACTGTAGTTCCATTTCTAAAACATTAAACCAGAAATTCAAATGAGTGGAGCCAGTTCATACACGAAGAAGGTCAGCCATGAGAGTTCCTCTTCCAGGGCCTAGCTCAACTAGGTTCACTCTAGCAGGCTGTCCCATTTGCTCCCAGAGAGACATGGCCCAAACACCAACCATCTAAATTCAAATAAGCAGAGAGAATGACAAATCAGTTTCTCTTCAAAAATCAAATTCCTAAAGAAAATGCCAATTGAATTCAATGAACTAATTGACTATGTGAGCAATTGAGAACCCAACAAGGAGAAAATTTACCTCCCCAAACATCTGGCTCACTTCCGGAGAGGTTATAAAATCACCTCCTGCTCCAAACACATCTCGATTCATGTAGAACCCAGCTTTTGGGTTTGTCAGAACTTCCTCCATATACTCAGCAACTGAGATTGGGCCACCACGGAACTGACCAAGAAAGCACATTCGCAACACATTGTCGCTCCGATAGCAACATTTACTGTTATACAAATTGAAAAAAGAAACGAAAAGAAGAAACCTTGATGATGCCTTTGAGGTGCTTGACGAGCTCAGAGTCCGAAGAAGGTTCATGAGAATGCTCTGCCACGAAATTTAAATAAATAAATAAATAAATAACCATTATCGAAAGCTAATTACGGATGAGTATAAAAAAAAAGGGGAAGTGGAGGTTACCAGGTGGGTTGTATAGGCCGGAGCGGTCAATGGTAATAGAGGTAGTGGGTTGAGTAGTGGTTTGGTCAGGGTCGTTCTCCGCGTGTTCGACGAAAGGACTGCGTGGGATTTGGGATGAAGAAGAATAAGAAGTTGAAGAAGAAACTGAACGATTGTGAAACAAAAAAGCTGAATATGGCGGAACAAAGTATCCATTGGGAAGACGACGATTAGCAGAAGCTTGTAGTAGAAATCGTCTCAACATTTTGGAACGCTGGTCTCTGCGGGACAGGAGTGAAAGTGCCGAAGTGAAAATGTTCATTTTTAACAAAGCTCACCAGTCTGAAAATCACGATAATACGAGACAAATATTTAGCACACAACCTTAAGATCAAAACGGGGATGTAGCTCAGATGGTAGAGCGCTCGCTTAGCATGCGAGAGGTACGGGGATCGATACCCCGCATCTCCACTTTTTGATTTTATTTCAATTGCCTAATTAATTAGGCTATCAAGTTTTCTCTCCAATTTACACAAATGACATGAGAGATGTTGCTCAAAATGTATAATTTGATTGAATTGCAATTTAATTATAATTATAATTAGACACACAAGGTGTTTTTTATATCACAACAATAACGATATTCTAAATTACTTCAATATATAATAAGGGAAATTGAATATTTTGGTCAACTTCCTTAACTCACGCTTACAATAAATAAACATTATTACTTAGCTCTTATGGCCAAAAAAAAAATATTATTACTTAGGTCTTTTGCTAGACGTTGTCCGAATTGTTACTCTTTTCCTGATTAGGACAAGAAGACTGAGGAGGCATGGTGGCGCAAAAAGTGCAACCGTTGTGATTTTGGTCATCAACGATGTAGTAGGCATAGAAGAGCAGCAAACTGCTGGAAACGGCAATACAGTACATGAGCACAACCGCAGACAAGTGCATAAACGTCCCAAATTGATATGCAAACCCGAACAGGATGGCGCTTGACAAACCCCAAAGGGTGAACCTCAACAACTCTTTCTTCACCGATTGCTCGCCTCTTGGCAACTGAGTGTACACTGCTAGACACTTGTCCAACACGAAATACGACACATAGACGAACACGACGAAAGCCACCACTGGATAGTCGCTGTGCTCGTACGCCCGGTAGAGCGTTGTAAGGGAACAAATTGTGAGGTTGAAGAAAACAAAGCATGGGGTCAAGTTTATTGTTTGGCTAGCATCTGGGTTGCGAGTGTTGAAAGTAGGAAGAGTTGTTTTTGTAGGTTTCTTCTGATCATAAGTTGGCAACATTTTGCAATTCAGGCAAGTTTTGGTTATCGATGCAGTGATAGTGGCAGAAGCATGCACTTGGAAAACTTGTGATGGTTGAGGGTATGAGGTGTGGGAGACTTGAGAGAATTCTCAAGTCTTTATATAAAACCATTTATGAAGGTGCCTAGAATTTACCCTGAAGTTCTAAAGCTGAAGAAATTGAATATATTAAAGTTCGCTACTTTTTCCTTCAGTTTTCTTTGCAAGACCACAGAAGCAGCCGAGAAAGTTACAAAAGCAACCGAGAAAGTTGCGGGAAAATCATCCAAATGCATGTTTACTTTTGGCGTTTAGCGGATATGTCTGACCTTAAATATTTTTATTTTTTTTAAAACAATCTCAAATACCCTTTCTACAAAGAGATCCTAGCCGAGAACAACAAAGGGTATCCTAGGGTTCATAAAATCAACGTAGTTTGAAATCAGTTTGCATTTCTCTTTTATATTAATTATTCAAGACATTAAGTTCACTCGTTATAATTTTCAAGTGGTTCGAATCACATATAATTTTCGAGAAACAAAAATAGTAATATCCTTTATCAAATTTAGGACATACCCTTCTTTACTTTTGTATATACATTTGTTTTATGGCATGTTTATTAATATGTAATCAGATGAGAAGAAATTGAATTGAGGAAGAATTGGATTGAGGAAAGTTTGAATCCGGATTCCTATTAAAGTTGTTTACTAAATCATATGGAATTAGGGTAGGAGTGATATTGATTCCTTATAAGTTGTTTACTAAATTACCATGAATCGAAATTGAAACCAGTTTGATTACTAAAATGCCCTTTGTTTGGGCCAAAAATTGACACATCCAGCCCAAGGCCCATCAGAACAAACAAAGCTGAGTTGGGCCTCACAGGCCCAACATAATAGGAAGAAGGGAGTCCAGACCAGAAGAGGGAACAATCCCACATGGCAGCCTCTGGGATAAAAGTCAGCAATGACGGAAGTCAGCAGGGATGAAAAGTCAGCAAAGGCAGCCTCTGAAATGAAAAAAGTCAGCAATAACAACTGCCATAGAAGAAGTGACTGAAGGTTTCGTGACATCAAGAAGAACTGAAGATTAAGTCCCCCTTATATATGTATATACAGAGATTTTTTTCTGTCTTTTACAGAGAAGGTAAATCTCCCAAGATAGATACGCAGGTTACAATCTCAGAGAGGGATAAGCAGGAAAGCAGGGAGCTGTCCAGAAGGGGCAGCTGAAAAACAGGGAAGTGATCACCTATCTGAAAGCCTATCAGCCAGAATTGAAGAAGAGGAGGAAAAGGGGGGAAAATATCTTTGCCGCCCAATAAAAAAACACAATCACCCTAC